TGACAGTAGCAATGCCATAACATAAGGATTTACGTATGGAAAATCAGGAGGAGCCCAAGGTCTGAGAGTTCACCATTAAATTCTAGCTTATTGAAGAATGGTTCTCAAATGAAGGAAATCAGAAACCTAGGAGAATAGCCTATAGAATACTTTACAGAATACTCGCTCTATATACCTTGAATATCAAAAACCATAGCCGAGGTATTACCTTGTATAATAGAGTACCCTATAGGGTATTCCAGAAGGTATTATATAGGGTATATCTATGGTATATATGACATATGGGTGGTATTATATAAGGTGTATCCTATGAGGTGCTCTATGAGGCATTCTATAGAACATTCTACAGGGGATTCTATAGGGTACTATAGAAGGTATATATAGGTGGTATTCTAGAAGGGATTCCAGAAGGTATAGGCTATAGGGTATTTCATTGTGTACACAATAAGGTAGGTATAAGGTATATAGGGGGTATTCGATAAGGTATTACCAATAGTATTCTATGTTAAATTCTGTAAGGTATATAGTCTTTACATTCCTCTATACTTTATAAGGTATTCTGCAGGCTGGTCTCCTAACTTCCTGATTTCTGGGTATATGTAAGGTGTATAAGGGATATTGCATACGGTACTTGAAAAGGTATTCTAAAGGCTATTCTATAAAGTATTCCAGAAGGTATTATACAGGGTTTTCTAGAATGTATATATAGGTGGTTTTGTAGAGGGTATTCTAGAATGTATTCGACAGGCTATAGGCTATTCAATGACGTATACATAAGGTACATATGGGATATTCGGTGAGGTAGCACCTAGGATATTGTATACTGAATTCTTCAAAGCATATAGAGGTGATACTCTGTAAGGTATTCTGCAGGCTCTTCTAGGTTTCTGATTTCCTTCATCCAACATCTCTTTCTCAATAAGCTAGAGATTAATGCTGAATTCTCAGATCTCGGGCTCCTCCTGATTTCCCATACATATATATATATATATGGTAGTCAGTCCTTCACAACCATGGTTGACTTCTCCATGTATGCTCAACAGGCCCGAAACAGCAGATAACAGAGGGGGGGTAGCATATATATATATGGATATTATAGCTATATATATATAAGGGTCTTTGTGTTTAGCCGAATCAGTCAGGCGACCGCCTGCTGGCGTGCGAACGGTTTTTTTGCATGAAGATGTATTTTACTTCCTTTGGGTCCCGCCCAGCTACCTGAGGAGTCCTCGTCTTCAAGGTCCTGTCCTTCAGGGTCAAACAAGGGGTACCTCCTTCCACTTGCAGCCAGCATGGAATGAAACCAGGCAGTAGAAACGAGCACGCAGCATCTCCCCTGACTGCAGTATCACACTGAGCCGTGGATCATAAGCAGACACAAGCATCAATCAAGCAACACTTCTGGTGCCCTCCCAACAATATCTAGACCATGAGCCCATTACACTCAAACCAATCGCCCGGCCAGTTTCCTTACCTCACAAAAATATCAATCCTGAAGCCCATTGTCGCCGAAGCACTGGCGAGCCCGGACAGGCAGCATGCGTCAGCCCACCTAAGCTGTTCAGCACTTGGAGGTATATGGCACAAAGATATGCTCCTATCGTCACGAAGAGATGGACAGCCCGTACACACGCCTGAAAGTCCAGACTGTCAGCACCTATGCTGAGAAAACTGTATGGGGCTTGCGGCTTCATAGCATATACAGGGTGGAACAGGAGAAGACAAAATGGCAATGAAGTCTACACTCCAACCCAGACTCAACAGCCGGGACACAAGAGCCAGAGCTTGCATGATTGACAGTCCGCTGCATGAAGATGGCATGGCCTGATAGCTGAGCCCCAGGGCTCCAGTTGCCTAAATAATGGGTTCTGGGTTCTACATACCCAGTAACCGACTATTCACGTAACTGGGAGCTAGGTAACCTTGCAACTGTACGAGTTCATGCGTTTCTGGAAGCAGTGTCTAAGAATCTTACAGCGGCATTAATATTCCATGCAGTCCCACAATAGAAAGAATCTCATGCCAACCTAGAAAAAGGGCAGGAACACACGAAAGTTCTCAAGGTCTAGTATGATTTCTCGAGGGAATTGTTGTAGGTACACCACTACTGGATTAAGGAGCTCCAGAGTGTGTATTTCGAATTCCGTGTCAACTTTTACTTTAGGAATTACACCTACCTTCTGTCTTCCCTACCTTCTAGAATTACTACCATCCAGGCATCCATTTCTTGGGTTTTATTGTTTGCCTTCATTTGCTTCCGCTCGTTCGCTTCCATTTGTTTCCTTTGCCGGGACGTCTCCCCATTGCCGCGCCCACCTTCTCAGCATGATCCGGCGTAAGAGATTATAAGTTCAACGTTGCAAGAAATCTTGCGCAAATTCGTAACTGTTTCTGCACTAGAGGCGCGAGGGGCATTTGCCTGCAGGCACTGAAGCAGCAACGCGGCCTCCGCCGCGAATTCAGGCAGAGGTGGCAAAGGATGAACATCTGTTTCTCCTGAGAAGGAGCCGCGGCTGCTTGCACATCTTGACAGGCGCCGCATCATCGAGGACCGTGACAGAAGTAGCATCAAAAGCCTTCATGAAAATATCCAGGCCGAAACAGCGCACACGTGGGCGATCATTTAGTTTTGGATGTCCCAGGTTGGCTGGGTGGGTCCGCGAAATTCGATATTACTCGCCGCCGCCACCTGTGAGGCTCAAACCCCCAAAGGGAAGCTCCTCTACGAAAACCTTCTGACGATGGCTGGTACATGCTGGTACACAATCAGGGACCTTACCAAATTTCAGACATGCTCCGTATCAAGGCTAAAACAAGACCTGGCGCATCTCAGGCATGCAGCACCCTCAAGTTCACCATTTGCAACGTTCTCAATGATTTCGTCCGCTTAGATGGCTCCTCTGACGTTATTATTCCCAACATGTAGTACAGTTCCAAACAGATTGCTGTCTAAGATCCTGGCAACCGGAAGGTATGATAAACAAGTTGAGTTCCTGCAAAACGGGTCCCGCCATTCTTAGCAAACTTGATGCCTCCGGGAACCTCGCGTTTTGTTAACTTCCTGTCAGCACGAAATCTGGGGGATGTAGGAATATCTCTCTGAGTGTTCCCATCTACTTGAAGATCACGATTCACTGTAGCAACCCTTAGCAGTGGCATGAGCCACAGAGGCCTGGCGTGAAGATCCCAACAAGGAATAAGCTCAGCAGCGCGCTCCGTGCCCTGGCGGTGGCAGAGCAACATGAACCGGTGTTTGACAGAGTACGTTGGACAGGGATTCTTAGACTCGGGGCGGTTCAACACTCGGAAGCTGCTCTGCAGAACCTAAAAATGTGGATCCGTGTGTTGTGCTTAAGGGAGCCTCAGCATGGAACCCATATCGTATTCAAATGACATCATAAGGATTGCTACAAACTAAACCTGCTGACAGACTTGCTTCATCCTTGGCTTCAGTGTCAAAGAATAGGCTCCGGTCTCTTAAACGGGTTCTGTCACGCATGCTGAGGTCCTTCAAGTACCTACTGGTTACATAGGCAAAACACACCACTTCAGCCCTCAAGACATGACACCCCATGATGCTGCTCACACGCTGAATTGCAGAACGTCCGCGTGAACCATGAGACAGACATGACTCTACCAGCCTCTGTGACTTTAACAATTCTATCCCAACCTCAGCGCAGAGTCTGTGGGGTCTGGCTCGGGTTTTCGCGAGTTTGCTGCTGACTTTTGTGGGTCCTCTTGCTTCTATTTCCTCCCCTTACCTGCATCCTTAGGGGATTCCAAGAATTTCCTTTTTTGAGGCCAAGACATGCCTAGATTCACGTTTTGTGCGCACCATTTTGCGGATCCCTTTGGAGGCTTGGTCAGACCTCATCCTCACTGAATTGGCCGAGAAACGAGCAACGTAAAAATGGTGCATTAAGTTTGGCAAGCTCTGGCATATGTAACGGTGTTGCTGGCTGAGTAAGATGACGCCACCCCCGAACTGGGTTGCTATTGAGGAACTTAATTTAAGTTACTCTATTAGGGAAACTACATTAATTACTACGTATATATATATATACAGATATATATATATACATATATATATATATGGCAACTTAAGTTAAATGTCTGAACAGCAACTCAGCAAACCCTCAACCCTGCCCAAGGGCAGCCTGCCAGAGTGCAACATCGCCAATAAGCTGCGGCTAGCTTTGCCCTGTCACCCCTTGCAAACTAAATTCAAAATCCTGCCTCAGATACCCACTAACTTGTCTAAAGAAAAGCTGAACATCGAATGGGACAGGATATCGTAAGATGGTAGCTACAGGTTTGGATATACACGCTTCAGATGTGTGTGCCTTGGACTTGGTGGATTTGGGGCGGAGAGAACAACACGTCCTGGCTATAACGGCGTGCGGTCCTCGAATGGTTAAGAGTTCACGGAATTCGGTTCGATCTCAAATGGCTGCATAAAGTTGGGTAAACCCACCAGAACTGCACTGACCACCACCAAACATCTACAAGCGAAGGGCAGACGAGATTATAGTACCCATGCAAGAAACTCTCCAACTCTGAGGACCCCCATGACATGTGAGCTATAGTCTACACTCCTATTATCCCCCTTAATAACCCCCACAAAAGTCCCCTTTCTGATCCCCTATATAACCCCTGTAGTAAGGTTTAGACTATAACTCATATCACCTACAAGCTGGACTCTAAGTGACTCTTAGGGTTTAGGGTTTAGGGATGGCAGTTTCACAAAATAAGGGGAACTCCAATATAGAACCCAACATGCTATAGTCCTGATAACGGGGACCCCCCCAAATGGGCCCCTAATTTTGGGAAACCCGAAAACCTTATGTAACCCCTACATATCTCTCATATCATCCCTATTTATCTCATATAACCCCCTTTCAAGGTCCGATTTGGGAAAAAGCAGGTCTCCCGTGGCAGGGAAAGTCTTTCATAAGCAGACCTTGCCATCAGCAATACTTCACAGAACGTAGCGGCTGTTTATGGGCTGTTCTCAGAATGACGGGCACTTTTTGGATATAGCTTAAATTACGGCACCGAATACTTAGGGGTACCAAAATAGGACCCTAATTTCGGAAACCACCCCCATGTTTGCTTGGGAATCTTCCTCGTGGTCCCTTACCCTTACTATAGCTAATAAGGACCCGTGTAGATTAAAAAGAACCACATCGAAGGAATTCTTTCAACAAAAGGACAAGCTTCTATTGGATGTTGACAGTGTGGTATCAGCAAATACTTGCAACTTCAACCATCACCATCATGCAGTTGTACTCACAGTTGTACTCAAACTGAAAGAACTAGAACGAGGAGTTGATAGCAGCGCAACATACAGTCAGGATCTGCAAAGCCAAATCTCTCCATGTACTTGAAAGTTCTGTTCTTGGAGGCCATCGTAACGGCCAAGGCGCCATCATAGTAGCAGAAACAATAATAGTTGCTAGAGGAGTAGTAATCCTAGTAGTAATAGCAGTAGCAGCTGCAGTAGTAGCAGCAGCAGCAGCAGCAGCATCTTTCGTGGTTGGAAGAGGAGGGAAGTCGGAGGACGCGAAGCAATAATGCTAGCAGCGGTGCTATCCCGAGACATGAAGAGTTGGACGTCATCATCATGGCCATCCATCCTCCGTCCCATTATGCAAGCAAGCTGGCCAGCAATTCAAGCCCAACGCTCCTTCTGCATAAGGTGCAGGATCTGGATGCAGAATGGATGGTACCTACAGAGCTCCGCGTCAGGTACACACTGCAAGGCTAGATACACCAACGTGGCTGTAGCTGTAGCTCTTGGTAACATCCCAAGCGCCAGGCTCCTTAAGAGATCTCAGGAATGTGACCCCAAAACACCAAAACACGTCAAGACTATGCGGATGTTGACTAACAGGCTAAGACGCAGGCTATAACTACGCAGCAGTGTTTCTAGGACCCCGTCTGCTAAATCTTTCGGTGGGTCTGTCTGCGATCCAGGGCGCGGAGTTCGTTGATGCGCCGCCGTTGTTTTGAGGAGGCTTTGAACCTCAAAAGGCAATGCTTGATCCCAAATTAAATGGCTTACATATCAGCCCCCCCCCCCCCCCACCACAAGAATACCGCCAGCGCTACCGCTGCTGCCGCCGCCAGCACCACCAACACCGCCTCTTCTACACTCGACAACAACGATTACGAAGACAAGGAGGTCGGAGGTGGAGGACCACGACCAGGACCACAAGCACAGCATCAACATCACAACCACAAGACGCAACAAGGATGACAAGGACAAGACGAAACTAGAATCAGAACAACAACAACAACAACAACAAGAACAAGAGGAACAAGAACAAGAGGAACAAGAACAACTTAGAAGAACAACAACAAGAACAAGAAGGACCATAGCAAGAACAAGGACATTATAGTTAGAACATGAACAAGAACAACAACAGCAGGAGCAGCAGCAGCAGCAGCAGCAGCAGCAGCAGTGGTGGCGGCAGCAGCAACAGCAAGAACGAGAACAACAATAGCAACAGTAACAATGTCAATGACGACGACGACAAGACCGACAACAGTTCAACAGCAACGACAACGACGACCACCACCACCACCACCACCAGCACCACCAGCACCACCACCACAACCTTCACTTCTTCTAGCCTTTAATGGACCTTCAAACCTAAAGTTCAGGGCTTAGGGTAGTGTGAATACGG